AGGATGCTGATATTGGACCAACTTTCAAGGTCACAAGGGTCAAATGTCTTAAAATGCTTAAACAACTTCTTGCCAATAACCGAAAGGCCAAGGGTCTTGATATTGGGCCTGTAGCTTGATTTTTCAACAAGCAATACATCTGGAGTAATGACAATTGTGTAGTGCATGTATAAAGAATATGATTTTAAGTTTGCAGAAAATGTCTTAATGAACCAACAATGTCTTCTCTTTAAGCTTTAGTGTAGTTGAGCAATTTATTTTAGGACTATTTTGCCTCTTTCATAGATAGGTTTTTATCGTCAGCTGACCGTTAATGCCTATGAGCCTCGTTTATCTGTTTATTGTCTGTCCTGGTATAATTATAGGTATCAGTGAATGTTTCGACCGTAAACTATTAAAAATAGGTCCCAGATCTGAGATGCTGCTACGATACATCATATATCAAATGGTGGGTTATTCAGCTTGCCTGGTGTACATGGTCAGCCATCCATATTAATCAGATTTCTTGGGAAGTACTAAATGGACCTGGCTGAAATTGTACAGTAGACTGGAATCTTTGTTCCCAAAGTCAAGTAGGATTAATTATGACATTGACCATGAAAACAATATGGCAGACAGCTAGGAGGCCATGTTGGATGTTAAACATTGATATTTGTTGTTTGGTTTTGATCCCACAGTGTTCTAAGTAGTAGATAATCACTGGTTTATAGAGCAGTGTGTAGTTAATGATGATACTTGATGCTGATTCTATTACAGTCAGGAAACCTCAGATCCATTTGTGCTGGTACTTCGTTCCTAGATAAAGTCACGATTTGTATGGGTCGAGGTATTCACTTTGCACTAAGCATCTTAAGTAACACATACATCACAAAACGATTTCGTCCGGATCAATCCGACTCTTAGTCAGCTTTGTAAGACCAGCTACTGGGTAAGATAATGCCCTGTTGTGGTAAATTATTACTAAAATCTGATATCCTGCACTGCACGAGAAAGTACATTACAAATATTTGTAATGCTTGATTTACGATCTTGCCAGATAATGGACAGTTAGGATCATTTCAATTTTTGTCACGTAGAATACTCAAGTAGCCAGTTATATTTCATTTCCATAAGAAAAAAAACGTACTTAGCAGCCATTGACTAGAGATATTAAGCTTGACTGACGATTCTAAATATACCTACCTGAGGCTTGGTCAGGAATTTTGTGTAAGGCGTCGTTTGACTTTGCTTTGTACCAATTAGGGTTTTCTTCATCACCTGACATTCTCATTGATTTTCCATCTAATCTGAGGTCCCGATTGGAATCTGAACTGTTAACCTTATATGGAAGACTGTCGCATATTCCTCATTAGACAAGGCGAGGCCTTAATGCATTGCTGGCTTAACGATAAGAATGTCCTGGTTCGTTAAAGGCTTTTAACGTAACAACTCCACAGACATTATCGTCAAGTTTGGTGTAATGATCTTAAGTACATCGTGGAAAAGGATCTTTAAGGACTGTTTTCGAATATATTGGCCACCCAATTACGGAAAACGTTCAAAGAATCTGTCGCAAAACTTTTAGCAAGGTGAACATTGCATGTTTCTTATTCATATTGTTGTACATATTTGATATGATTTGATGGTGCCAGCACCTGTGATCATCATCTACCTTTCCTTTAAAAACTACAGCACAGTAACTACCAGTGTTTTCCTTATATGATTGTATTTTGTGTCATCAGTATTTTCTTTGCATTATAATCAGAAAAATATCTGAAGACATTTATTGATAAATTATAATTGTATTTGCCCCATTGTATTTAAGTCAAGTTATGGCCCTTTGTCAGTTTCTGATACTGAACTTTCTTTTAAATTGTGTGAAATGGTGTGGCTGGTTTTGTTTTAGTATTAAGTAAGATGGCACATATTGGAAAAAAAAATATGGAACAGTTGATCCTACATGTGTTATGTCGAACTCTACGATAGTCTCCGATAGTCTCCACGGATGGATGGATAATGGATTCAGACCGAGTTCCTCACTAATAAGACAAAGCGATGGAATAAAGGAATCGCAATACACTAAAGGGGCTTGTCTTTGTTTACTTTGTTGTCATGTTTCAACCGCAATGCAGCTGGCATCAGGATGGCTTTTACAACTTTCAGATGCTCTTAAGTACAATTTTGCAGCTCAAGAAAGCTATGGTTGCTAGGTAAACATATTGAGACATTATGGATACATAACATTGCCATGTCATCAAATTACCCTAGGACTACTGAGAATAGCTGATGGCAGTGTATTTTTGATAACTGATTAGATTGAATTTACCGTATTTCTCCGCCAATAAGCCCAGGGCGCCTGTGCATGAAATTGAGTAAAGAGTAGGGGGTGGGCTTATTGCCGGATAAGAGCCTATACCTGACCGATATCCTCGGTCGCCATCTTGGATTTTTCACTACTGTTATCGATGAACAAATCTATTCAGGCGAACGAAGACTGGTTACTGGATGATTAAAATAAGAACAAGAAGAAATATATATATAAACAGGTTTGTATTAATTCCATATCAAGTAAATCAAACAAATACAACAAAATCACCATAGCACTGTCAATGAGTCACACACGTTACATTTAAGAGGTAGTTGATGTTATCGCACAATAATGCTAGGAATATTTGTCTTTTGAACAATTGAGCTATTCTGGATAAAATTAAAATTAATTGTAAATCTAGTGGTCTAGTCATTTTACTGAATAGTGAACATAAAAAAGACCTTGGGTATGAAATATAAGTGTTCATTGCTTAAGTAAGTGAATTAAAAGTTCGGTTCAGATTCACAATGGCAGTTTATAACCTTGAAATTATGAGAAAATGTAAGAAATGTTTAAATCATGGGGCTAGTTTGTAAATCCACCAAAGTGAAGTTGAATGGTTCTAGTGTACAGAGCTGGTCTTTATTGGAAAAAAAGAAACCTTTATACTGTATTGATTAGCTTGCTTAGGAAAAAGATTTTTTCTAAATTGATTTTGAAAGTCACTGATATGTCTGTACTTCGAAAGTCACAGAGGATAAAAAAAAGTGAATCAAATCATTTTAATATTGTATTGTGTAATAGTGAAGATCTGTCAAATTTTCTAAATAATCATATTTGCCAAATTTTCCAATTTCTGAAAAATTCCACGATAAACTCTTTGACACTGGATCTCGTCTTCGGAACCGATATATCGCGCTTAAATACATAACAAACAACATGAACTGACAGCAAGGTAGCTGTTGTACAGACCCTTAAATGTTTATCTAATAACATCATAGAGTTTTATTAAATGGTACACATTAAAAACCTTGGTGTCAAGGGATTTGTACAAAAAGAGATGTTGCAGGTTTTTAATTTGTTTCAATGTTTGGGATTATTTCACTTTGTGTGTGTGGTGCATGCAAACAGATTTGACCGAGATTTGAGTGGTGAGAGAGTTTAAAGCCGAAGGCATTCATGCAGGCTTCCCCAGGATACACATTGATTCTTGTAAATTTCATTACCAGGAAAACGTTTCATAAAATGTTAGCTTGGTGCTTATAAATCAGCATTACGCTGAATACCTGTATTGGTTTTGAAGCCAAGGTTTAAATAATTGCCAAAGTGACAGAGCAAAGAGTGTTAACACCATTTGTAAAACATTTAACGCCTTTCGGGTGTTGTCAGTTTCAATAATGCATGAAGTGTATTTGTTACATCGTCAGCCTTGAGCTAGTATTATTGATTTAATTTTTTTTATAAGTGAATTAGGTTTTGTTTTAAATTTATCTTGTCGGTGAAATTGAATCAGATGCAATGCATTTAACAATATATCATGACAAATTATGCTTTATTTTCGCTTTTAGCAATTGACCAGACTTGATGTTTAGCGTCAGCTGTGGGTATTGAAAGAACGTCGATATTTGTCACATTTGATAAAACTGCGATTAAAAGAGATTACACATGTTAGTTATTCATATCTAAATTGTTTCCTTACGATTTGTGCTGAATTTGTTGTCACTCTCTGTCTTGTAGTTTATAACAGTATTATCAATTCCTGTGTTTCTCAATACCACTAAATGAACTTGCAATCTACAAGAGACAGTGCCTCGTAACTGAAACTCAGAACAGCAGTGTTATGGCTCTTGAAGAAAAAAATTGTGGATTTATCGTTGATTCTGCTTAACCAATGTCTTAGTTACAGTAACATTACGGGAATCGTAAGACTTAATTTAGGAGAATGTTAAAGTTAGTTACATTCATCATTGGGAACTTAAAGCAACAATTCGGTTTATGTGACAATTTAGTGTTGGATTTTAGTAGAGTTTAAGTGTAGATTGATTAACGAAATTTGTAATCGTTATTACTCTGACTACATTGTATGTCTGTATTTTTTGTGTTGTTTACAAAGCCTGGTCCAGTTTAGTATTGTTAAAGCAAAGTAAAAGATATCTCAATAAACCTTTATAAAACCTATTTTTTCTGTAAGCCGATCTGATATATAACTAGTATATCGTTTACAATTGATGAAGTTCTTACAAAAAAAAATACCAATTTCTTTATGTTGCAGTTAGAATATTCTGTAAATACGTTTTTCTGTCTATAGTTGTGTTTTAAATTAAAATACCAGGAAGTTCAGGTATTAAAAATCAAGTTGATTTATGTACAAAAATGTAACATAATATTTCATTTTCATGGAGCGTAAAATTACTTCATAGTAACCAGACATTCCTGTTATTAGAATATGTTATGTTTCACTACTAATATCAGAAATAATTTCTTACAAAGCATTGTGACTTTATGATATCCAATTTTTTATGTAATCATGTAACTGTAATGTCTGAACATTGAAATACAAACATTCATTTTATTGCAGGCGACAACTATTTTGGCACTAACAATTTATGGGATTAAATGTGATGGAGATATGTTCTCTATAGATATTGGAAAACATTTGTTAGATTTATTAAGGTAAAAGTCATAATCTTACTGAATTGTTTTGCTTCTGTAGACCGTGTGATCGCAGCCGAGAAGACTTGGATATCATTTATTCTCGCCTGAAGAGCGTGAAAGCCTTCGACAGATTTCACCCATCTCTTCTACAGCAGATCTGCTACTATGGTTACTACGAGGATTTGGAGAAAGGAATTACATGTAAGCATTGTTAATGTGATGGTAAAGGATGTCAGCTTTATGAAATAGATTGAATCGGCACAGAAATAAATTGACACAATTACATGTGACAATATTCAGATAAGAAGAAATCACATTTGTGGTTCTGGAATATTACCAGGATTTCATAAAAAGATAACCGCTTCTATTTTTGAAGTTGACCAATCTTGTTTTCTTTCTGTTGTACTATTGGTAAATGTGATTATTGACAGCATCAAAAAGTAACGTTCCTGATAGTATTGCCGACCTGGTCCCACTGGGTACCCCAACGAGTTCGCTGATACCAATTTATGGGAATGTTCTATAGATATATCCACGAAACCTAGCAAAAAACTATTTCAAACCTTACGTAGAGCCATTACGACCTACGTCTTCGTCCCCGTCAGATTAGCTCTCTATAGACCGTATAATACACCTTTATAGAACACGGGGGGGAAAAGCTTGATGGTCAATACAGATATACTATAACATAGTAATTATAAAGCTTTCTGTTGTCAATATAGAGAAAATTTTTATAACATTTGTAATGTACAAACTGTAGTTAAACATTTATAAAAACTTCATACACCAGCTCTGCATGACCAATGCATAGTATATATGGTCAGTATAGTTAAACATTTATAAAAACTTCATACACCAGCTCCGCATGACCAATGCATAGTATATATGGTCAGTATAGTTAAACATTATAAAAACTTCATACACCAGCTCCGCATGACCAATGCATAGTATATATGGCAGGGCTCTCGATCTGCCAGATTTGGGGCCGATATTCGGCCCCAATCCCAATGCAAAATAGAATCTTTTTTTCCCAATTTAGACCCCAAGTTCTCCCAATTCTAAGGAAAACACCATTATTTTTCCCAATTCTAAGGGCCCCGGGCCCCAGTCCCAAAGTGTGGTGTGAGAGCCCTGTATGGTCAGTATGGATACTGTTTGATAAAGAGTATTAGCCCCTCTAGTGAATATTAAGCCTAAATTTTGTTGATTTTCCTAGTCTTAGAATACCGTGCATATACATGAGAGGTTTCTTATTTTATTTATGTGTTGGGTCGATCTACGACTGTCAAAGTACTTAAAACATTGGGATTTTTACACAATAGCGGTGTTAACGTGAAGCACTGGTATAAATGTGGTCCACTACTGGTTTAGACCTTAATGCATATTTGTGATACATTGGATTTCTGATCTTGATAATTACTCCTTACTTAATGGATCAGGCTGAGATCTTGGACTTGATATTCATACCAGATATTCTACTAGTTGAATAGAATAGAACATCAGTTCTTATATACTTCACAGTTTGATCCTGTGGTTACTATCGATGGGATTAACCTATCTCATAACGGTTAGGAAAAGACAGCTAGCACATAATGTGACATTTCCCATGACAGTGTAGCGTCATCATATTATGCAGTGGCCCATGTCGTAAATTTTGACCAACAAGGGACATTGCTGATTGTGCAATTAATATAAGATTTCACAACATATTAACAAACAATTTGTCAGGTTTTTTTTTTAAGTATGGGAGAAAAATATTCAAACATAAGTCTTTTTCTTGGACAGTGATATTGCAACCCTTGTATAGGTGTGTTTTGGCTTGTCAGAACACGATCAGCAATTTAAGCCTCTGATTCATGGACCAGCCAAACACTTGCACATGGAACAGACCTGATTTTATTAATATGAATCAAAGACAAATATCAGACAGCACTGAAATGTGGTTTGGATGTAAATTTTGTTCTCTCAAATGTTCAATCTGCTGAGTATTAAAGGTTTTCAATTTTTTGCTATTATCAGTGATTGAGTTTTTAAAATGTGAAGAACAGATGTATTATGTATTGCAAAATACAAAATTTGAAATAAAAGCATTGCCGTTTTCATGACACCTCTGAAAGATAATTTCTTTCACTGAAAGCTTTCAGTAAAATTGCGGAAATTTGAATTACGGTATGAATGTTAATTGTTTTTTTAGAGAAGACAGAGAGATTGGAAAGGTTTCTTAATAAGACATTAGTAAATAATAAATACAAAAGTTCGTAATTATTGTTTTTAAATCTGTTAGGTAAAAAATAGCAACATCTTTAGAACTTGTGTATGAGTGGAGAGATAGATGCCTTAATCCGTGTAACATTATGTAAGCTTTGCAGCCATTGTATGAATCATTCTAGGAAAGAGAGCGTGATCATTTCTGGTGACGTGTCGGATCTAAAATTCTAGGTTACTGTTATATGTTCATAAATCATCTCTAATATCATGAAATTGTGTAATAGGGGATTATATAGTTGTCTGGTTTACTGACATCATCGTATAAACAGGTGGTGATCATACCATGTTTTTTACTTAATTAACCCTGTAACACTCAGCAATGGGTGTCATTGAGAGAAACTACCAGAAACCAGTATAAATGGCCTGAGATGGAAATCTAAGGCCAAGTATAGAATGCATATGAGGATAATTTTTTGTGAGAATTTCCATTTCGGATGACGTTCTTGCAACATTCCTGGGTAAATATTGAGATGAAATTGAACGCAGTCAGATGAACCCTGGAACCTGACTCATTTTATGATGCACAACAACATGAATACAATCTCATACAAGCTCTGGTCCTGCAATGGTAGGGTTTTAGAATTAAGCCTTGGCAATGTTTGTAAAAAGAAATGATTTTGACCCACTAGTGCAAAGTCAAAGGAGTTTGAAAATTTGTAAAACACTCAAACTGCTTCCCCTGATTAACCAAATCATGATATATTTGACAAGTAGATTTCTTTAATAAAAGAAGACTGACATAAGGTTTGCGAAAAACAATTACCTTGACCCATATTCAAGGTCATTATAGATACTCAAACATTATCGCCAGATTAACCAAAAATCTGAAAATCGTCATACTTTGCTGGTATAGTTTCCCAGGATTATGCTTGACAAAATTGTGTGATAGAAATGACCTTTGTTTGGTCACAGGAGTAAAATTTATCATATAGAAAAAGATTGATCAGCTGTATATAAATACTCTGTTTATTTTGAAAAAATATCTACATTGTATACGGATATTAATAGGTATTTCTGAGACCAAAATTGGTGAAAATCATGAGTACAAAGTAATGATGTTACATTTAAAAATTTTGGCACTATCAGCAGCTTTAATCTTGATAGGACTGCGAGACCAATGTGTTACTATTCCATTTTCATATTGTTTTCTTATTTTTCACTTCTTCCATTAAACATTGCAGTTCTATATTTTAAATCATTGTTGCTTTGATTGCTCTGTCAGAATTCATTTCTTATTTTAATTTGTTTGGGGACGTTCGGTATTTTAGAGAACCCTATAATAACACCTGGACCTCATGACTTCTAATTTGTTTTTGAGCTTGCTGGTGCAATGGATTCGATGCAGAGTGAAGTGAAAGTTTGGGGATGTTCGGTATTTTAGAGAACCCTATAATAACACCTAGACCTCATGACTTCTAATTTGTTTTTGAGCTTGCTGGTGCTATGGATTCGATGCAGAGTGAAGTGAAAGGATTCCGATCAAATTTGGTCTCGAGTCTTTTTAATGATGAAGGAAATTCATCACCAGATGCTCTAAAGAATGGCTTATCTTTCCTTGAGCGGCATGGCAGCAAGGCCCAATAGGAAAACAGATATTTTAATGTTGACGTAGAGTTTTTTCAACAAAATTTGCTGTAGAGCATCCCAGAAATTAAGAAATTTCTGTGTTTAGGAAGGTATAATCTAGCTTTCCCTTTATTGCTCTCCACCCACTACCCTGTACCCCTAATACTTACAGCCTAAAATAGTGGATTTCTCTGTTATCTGTAATTACGTTAGATGAGATATCCAGCTGAGAGATGCTGACCCTGGCTGTCCATCTTGTGATTTAATGTCTTTATATCTTTAATACTCATTTTGGCCTTTTCAGGCAGTCCGCTATTCAAGCTTAGATTCGGAGTCTGAAGGTGACATTAGATAGAACTTAATGGCAAAGCATCTGTATTTAGAGTTCCATTGAGTTCTATAATACATGGAGGTCTCTCGTAAATCACTGAACCTGTTGGACGATCAAAGAGTCTCTGCCAAAATCAATATATAACATGTGTTCTAGGTATGCACGATAATTTTGGGGTTACCTCCCTTTTGCCCAGTATGTAGATGCTTGTACAGATGTGAAACAATTTTCAAATAATGTTTACGTATAATGTACAAGGCAACATGCCACAACTGAGTTCAAGGGTAAGTCCCTTTCTTTTCCGTACTGCCTCACTTAGCAAAATTTTATTTTCATAAGCCTGATGCTTTGAACACCTACCAAAACAAGAATGGCCATCGGTCGAATCTGCTCTGTCTAATTTATCCCACTATGGCATACTACAGAGAGACTGACCATGATAGTGTGATAAATAGGTATTGGATTGACTGAGAGTGTAAGGTTTTACCCAAAGAAATATAAATCCCTAGTGGTATTAATGTCTTGTAGTAAGTATCGTTCTCAACATTTCCTATGTGTAGTGGACTGGTATTAGTGGAAGATCAATGATTTGATATTTTGCAACTTATAATGAGTATGACGAAGGTGATAGAAATGCTACCAGGCTGTTAATATGTCTATATAAATAATTATTACTTGTTGCTCTTAGCTTGACAAAAGGATCAGAGTCTGCTAACAATAAGGTCTGGTTCTAACCTCTTGTCACTGTTATGTGACCTGTGGTATCATATTGCTAAGGTATCCAGACTACTGACACTTCAGTATAATAGCACTGTATGAAGGAATCACTCAATGGCTTTCCAGTCATCTGTGAACATCCTTTCACATGAACTTGGCTATGTGGATATATTGCACCTGACAATCTAATCAAACTTTTAAAATAAAAAATTTCTGATATATGTATTTAAATGTTTTTTGTACTGGTTGTTCATATTATCAGTATATTCATATAAAAAAATTTGATAGAGCGAATCATGGTAAACTTCTAATTGCCTTGAGATCACCTCCCACAGTTTCCAACCAGTCATTTTTATGCTCCTCGAAAATTTTCAGAGGAGCATTTGGTTGCCACCTTGTCCATGAGACTGTCATTCTGTGCGTCCTTTTGTGTCCAGAGCATAATTTTGGCAACAGTTCACCAAGGATCATGAAACTTGGTGCAACATAAGTCATAATAAGGGGATGTGCAGTGTAGCCACAGAGATGTTGCCTTTTGTTAAGATTTCATGTCTAGAGAAAAACTTTGAATTGCTTGCATTTAAACTCGAATGAAACTTAGTGGATACAATGAACATAATAAGACTATGTGCTGTGTACCGATGTTAGGGCCCATAACCCCTTAATTGCAGAGTTATTGTCCTTTGTTAAAATTTTGTGTCTGGAGCATTACTTCGCCTGCATTTAAACTAGGATATGTAAAAGTAATGTTTACATCAGTCATACAAAATCAAGGTGCAGTGTTGCAAAGTTGGGGCCCCATGACCCCTCAGTACAGAGTAGTTGCCCTTTCTTAATTTTGTGTCATGTGCTTAGCTTTGATGGCATGAAGAGTGGGAGCATGAAACCTGATGTATACATTAGTCATACTACGATAATATGCTGTTTACCAAATTCAGAGCCTGCAACCCCTTACTTTCAGAATTATTAGCCTTTGTTAAAATTTTGTGTCTAATATAGTAGTTTTCAGGGAGCATTCATCAGTTTCACTGATTCTCTTGTCAAAAATTCTTTCATTAAGATAATCTTGTCTGTATGTTTTCTCTCTCAATTTTCATCAGATTGCATATGCAGGTTTTTCTCTGGTCTCTAGTTGTGCCGGTTTGATTTTGTGTCTGATCAGAAAAACAAAATGGCTGACAGGTGGCCTTCTTGGATTTTGACTTTGCAAGTCAGTTACTGGTATTTCTGAAGAAGTACTCGATGGAGCTTCGTCAAATTGCCTTTGTAGGTTTCTCTTAGTCCCAAGTTGTGCAGCCATCTTAAATTTCACAGAGTAAAGATAAGTTATCCCTATTTCTTAATAAGTACTGAATGGATCTCTCTCAAATTTCATACATACTTTCCTTTTGGTCTCTCCTTGTGCCCGTTTGATTCTGGGACAGATCAAAAGAAACAAAGTAGCTTCCAAGATTATCATCACTATTTCTGCAAAGGAATTATCAAATGTCTTATTATTACGAGCATAATCAGAGAAGAGAAGAGAAAAGAAGGGAAAAGATCCAACTGTCTAAGATCAAACAATGGTGGGCACCAAGATCCCTCTGGGATCTCTTGTTCTTTTTTCTTGTCCCAATGTCTTCCTCATATTTTACCAATTTTTTTAAAACTTTTTTTTCCCTTCTTGACATTTTAACTTATAGTTGCCATTTCTATATTTGTATTTTTGTTTAGATGGGCTATGTTGTTTCATCCTATTGTTCTCTTGTTGTTTATTTTACAAGTTGTTTTTATTCTTTTGGTCAGTGTTTAGGCAGGGAGATGTAGGAACCAACTGGTATACAGTTCTGTCTGGCTGTCTGGAGGTACAAGTGTCAGAAACGGCAAACATCAAGGTAAGTTCACAAAGGTGAGGTGGCCCATTAAGGTAGGTCACATGGGTCAGATGGCCTAGTAAGGTAAAGTCACATGGGTCAGTGAGGTAAGGTCACATGGGTCAGGTGGCTCAGTGAGGTAAGGTCAATTAGATCAGGTAGCTTAGTAAGGTAAGGTCACATGGGTCAGGTGGCTCAGTGAGGTAAGGTCTTATAAGTCAGGTGACTCTGTAAAGTAAGGTCAGTTAGATCAGGTAGCTTAGAAAGGTAAGATCGCATGGATCAGATGGTTTAGTAAGGTAAGGTCACATGGATCAAATGGTTTAGTAAGGTACAGTCACATAGGTCAGGTGGCCCAGTAAGGTAAGATCACATGGGTCAGTAAGGTAAGGTCACATGGGTCAGATTGCTTAGTAAGGTAAGGTCACATGGGTCAGATGGCTCAGTGAGGTAAGGTCATATGGGTCAGATGGCTCAGTAAGATAGGTTCACCTAAGGATAAGGTTTATGTGTCTCACTTCTTGTCTCAAATGCCTCAGCAATTGAAAATCATATCAATGGCAAAGATACTTGTGTCAGGTGTCTCATTTCTTGTCAGTTACTCAGTAATCATGTAAGGTCACACACCAAAACAAATTTCTTTGAGCCAAGGCAAAATCTGAGTGCAACCCATCAATTTATAAACATTTATAACTAAATAGTTGAGATATTTTCCTTTCCTTTTGTTCTACAGGATGCTGTGGTGATATGTACCCTGGGTATGGGGACGTCATTTGGGGAGTCCATACTCCACAGTAAACCTCACCAAGCTACAGTCATGACTAGAGAGTTTACAGAGCTCATTCGTGTGGAACAGCGTGACTTCAAAATACTTTGGGAGGTAAGTCAGTGACTAGAGAGTTTACAGAGGTCATTCGTGTGGAACAGCGTGACTTCAAAATACTTTGGGAGGTGTCAGGAGGTAAGTCCGTGTGGAACAGCGTGACTTCAAAATACTTTGGGAGGTAAGTCAGTGACTAGAGAGTTTACAGAGCTCATCCGTGTGGAACAGCGTGACTTCAAAATACTTTGGGAGGTAAGTCAGTGACTAGAGAGTTTACAGAGCTCATCCGTGTGGAACAGCGTGACTTCAAAATACTTTGGGAGGTAAGTCAGTGTGTGGAACAGCGTGACTTCAAAATACTTTGAGGTAAGTCAGTGACTAGAGAGTTTACAGAGCTCATCCGTGTGGAACAGCGTGACTTCAAAATACTTTGGGAGGTAAGTCAGTGACTAGAGAGTTTACAGAGCTCATCCGTGTGGAACAGCGTGACTTCAAAATACTTTGGGAGGTAAGTCAGTGACTAGAGAGTTTACAGAGCTCATCCGTGTGGAACAGCGTGACTTCAAAATACTTTGGGAGGTAAGTCAGTGACTAGAGAGTTTACAGAGCTCATCCGTGTGGAACAGCGTGACTTCAAAATACTTTGGGAGGTAAGTCAGTAACTAGAGAGTTTACAGAGCTCATCCGTGTGGAACAGCGTGACTTCAAAATACTTTGGGAGGTAAGTCATGACTAGAGAGTTTACAGAGCTCATTCGTGTGGAATAGCGTGACTTCAAAATACTTTGGGAGGTAAATCAGTGAAGATTTGCTTTATTTCATAGATAGAATGTTTAGTTTGTTAAGGAAAAGCTATGTCAAAATGATTTTATAATGGGATGTCAGTGTAGGGTGATGTAATGTTACATTGCTTTTAATCACCGGTGTTTGCCTGAATGGAAGCACACAAGGGGACTTACCGTAAGTGGGAGGTTACTAAAGTACTTGGTCGGGCTGTGGACTCCAGACCTTGTCACATCCAATCAGGAAGTTGCTGGTCTGCTTGTGAAAGATGAATGTGTTACCACCTAAAATAGGATGGGAAAGTACCACTGTGATTAATGTCTTGGAACTTTGGTGTTGTCTTTCTACTGATGGCAACAGCTGTTACAGTGACAATGATGGCATCACCGACATTTCACTACATCAGAATATTGTATTTACGGGAGATCTGTTTCAGAAAACCTGTAGCATTTTTTGTCCAATTCTAAGAAAACTTGATTGAAAGACAACACCTCAACCCACAGCCATTATTGCAGAAAATATATCTCCAACAGTTTACAGTTCAGGGACTTTGGTAGGGATGCTGGATTTCCCAAATTTTACACTCCAGGCACTCAATGGAATAGGAATGCTGATAAATGGATTAGAAATTAACATTTGTGTCCTTTTTAATGTAAAATGTTAATTTTTTGCTAATGCTGCTAACAAAAATTCAGATTTTGTAAAGTGTAAGCTGAGGGGGGCCAGTGATAAACTTGGGATTTTTATAGGATGTAATGAGAATGTCTGTCTATCTGTACAGACAGAAGATTGACAGTTTTGCTTTTCACTCCATCAACCATTTTACATAAAACTTTGTGCTCATCATCTAGCTAAGTACTTGACAGGCAGTTGATTCCACTTTCCGTAAATTCCTGAGAAGAAACATGTCCTGATACAAGGTCAAGGGAAAAGTGAATCAAACTAGCTTTTTTGTTTAGTATATTATTAAGCATTAGATTTTATCACATTTTAATATGATCTGTAGTTTTCATTATGCAGTGATACAGTTAGCACAGATATCACAAGATTTGATTTAAAGAGGAAATGATGATGGTACTATATATCTTCATGGTTCCTGTTGTTGATTTACATTTGAAACCTATTATTTCAGAGAAACAAGAAACTACTGGAGTGTGTTTTAACTTCACTTGGTTCACTTACTGCACAGGGTAAGTATAATAAGTAATAAGGGATTTCTTTGAATATAAATCTATATATAGATCTTTCAGTTCATTTTACAGTTGACAAGATATAGAATTTGGTCAAAGGGAGATAACCTGTAGTATAATTATTGTTACACATGCATGTATCTTTTCTCTTCTTGGGAGTTATTAACAACAGTTCCTCCAGACAGACGATTGATACCAAGACTGCCCTCAATAAAGTTATAAAGGGGAGATAATCTATGACCTAGATTTTCTTGTTTTATTTCAAGTAAAGAAACAGAACTGTCACCGATTGTTTCTAAGGGAGACAACCAGTTCAGTTTTCAAACAATTACTTAGAAAATATGTTATTTGTGAGATGACTTTAATGGGAGACAACTGCTCCTGGTTAGCCTAGCTTTTCATTGAGATGATTCATCTACTTTTCTAAATTATTTTTAATTAGAAAATATTTGGTACTAAATAGGGTGAGTTCATCAAATCACTGAATTGTAATTCAAAGAAAATTGACCATTATCCTGCATCAGTGAAGGGCCTGCCTTTCATAATAAACCCATGTGATGGTTTGCTGTTTACAGGAGGTACCCAGTCTCGGTTTGACCATACATCCAAGTTACGACGAGGAAGTCAGTCCCACACTACTGTAGAAGATATCGCACCAAACCCTGCTGCACCAATCTCTATGGTATCTAAACCTCTTGTTGTTTTGGATTTCTACCCTAACCTGATCAAAAGATGGTCAGGGTAGTTATGTTTTATCAATTCAGCTTTATATACCGGTGTATTTTGTCAGACAAATGAAATTTAATTCAATTTTATTGGAAACAATACAAGTTTGTATTAGTGTAGTGAAATAAGTTCTCAAAACAAATTTTCAGAAAAAGCAGTGTTTGTAATCCGAAGTTTTCTCATTATTATTGTATTCTAATAATATGCTGTTTGACAAATAAGAACCATTTTGAATGTTGGTTACATTAGATGTCTTGAAACTTCTTGGAAAGATACTTGTTAATAGACCCTCTTCCCTTCAGAACTTTATGTACTTACACAACTAAAGAATATGACTTCCAAAATGTTTTGGAATTTTTCGACTAATTTTGCAGACCTGAAATAGTTGTGTCCATTACAATTTATTTTTTTCTGTTGACAATTGTCATTGGAAACTGTTGACCATTTTCATTGGAAACTGTTGACCGTTTTCATTGGACAGTTAAAGGTTGTGTGGTACCCTGTGGTCTTCATTGATACAAGATTTTGTGGAAATCCTCTTCCAGATCCCATCTGTGAAGCTGTCTCGGGCTGGCCATGTATTGCGTACCATTCTGATGTGTCGAGCTGCTCACATGATCAGGGACAGGAAGTACCATTTACGAACTTACCGCCGTTGCATGGTGGGTAGTGAGATGGTGGATTGGATGTTACAGCAGGGACCACTAGTCCACTCACGAAATCAGGCGGTGGGGATGTGGCAAGCTCTTCTAGAGGATGGCATTATCGTACATGGTAAATATACTTACACTTTTATTATAAGGGCCTGCATCAGAGATGTGGGCTCCCTCTAGTAATCAGGTTGTCTTTCTGTCTGTTCACATTTAACTCACCTGGTCTGAGGAACAGCATGGTATTCTTCGTCTGTCTGTCATTTGATTTTGTCAATTTTTTACTAAAAAATCACCATTAGTCATGAACAACTGAACAGATTTTGACCGACCAAATTTGGTCAGATGCATACCTGGGTGAAGAGGAATCAATCTGCTGTAGAGGTTAGGACTTGGCCCCCTGTGGTTGGAGTGGGTGAGGTCCAATAATGGAAACAGCAAATTCTTTAAAATTCTATTCCTCCTGTAGGAATTATTGGATTCTGATCAAAGGTCTGAGGCATTGTTAGGAAGAGAGGAATTAATTTTGTATAAAGGATATGTCTTGGCCACCTTGGGTGGCAAAGGTAAGGCCTTCTTCGGCAGGAGGGGTCGCGCCTAATTTGGAAAATAGAAATTTGTAAAAAGGATATTGTCCAAGTTTGATCTGAAGCAATTTTTATGGATAGTGAATCTGACTGCTGTTTGACCACAGGGTAAGGATCTGTTAGGGAAATTGATAGAGGAATTATTTCATATATTTGAAATTCTTTGTTGAATGACTGAATAGCATAATTAGGTAGGTGAGTAATTCAGGCCCCATGTCTTTATTTCGGCTAAATATGTCAAGTTGTGTTAGACCATTTGTACTCAAGCTTTACCTGAAACTACTTAAAATGGAAAGCCTACATGGGAGAATTTTTGGGTTGTAAGGTCAAAGGTCAGAGTCACTGTAACTGTAAATAGAAAATCAGTTTCCGCAAATTAGAATGTTTCCAATTTTGTGTGGATGATTACACTTATATATTCTTCATTGCTCTGTCACTGGAAGCTCAAAATTGCTTATCACGTTCAGATGTCAAAGGTCAAGGTCACCATTTCTGTAAATTTACAGGAATGATATATCATGAGTGAAGGTTATCGGTAACTATTTAATTTATTACTTTATGTGGCAAAATGGTCTGAACTCAAATTAAAATTCACCTGACTACAGTTCAAGGTTATCAGGTCAAAGTTCAAGATCACATCTGTAAAAAAAATTCTGGTCGATATTTTTTAATGACATAATGAAGCATAGTATTAGTTGAAATCCAATGAGACATCACCTGACTACAGGTAAAGATGACCAGGTCAAAGGTTAAAGTCAGGCCTGAAATTTATAGCATGTTTACGTATATTTCACTTGTAAATTATTATGTCAATAAAGCAGTAAAAGAAAATTCTATTATTGCTCTGATTTAGCATCTGACGTCGGTCTTCCCAATATGTATCAGCACTCAAGTTATTATCTGTACGGCTAATGTTTGAAAGAATTTTGACTACCCACCCATCATTTGTGTGATATTTTTAGTGTGAAGACTTCTCATTCAAGCATAATTAACGTAAATCAATTTATTTTCAACCTTTCTACTAAACCTTGACCTAGTGACCTGTAGATAGATTTGTCCGCTGTAGTCACACCCTACCCAGGATCTTTATTCAATACACTAACAGCATCACACTTCTAGTGTATAACACAAACCATTATCACGTTCTTTTATATTTGACCTTTATTGTAATTAAACACCTCATCATCACTTTTTGTCTTTGGCAAATTTTCTGTGCATCTTCACCAACAAAGATGTGGGTTTAAAACTCATCTTGTTAATTAAACAAATGTTCTTTATTTCTGAAACTTGGAAATTCAGCCTTAATTATGTACCTTTTATCCCATGGGAAAGATTTAAAGGTTCAATTGAGCTGCTGTAGCGTCGCCTCTGTTGTTTTAATCTTTACTGCAGTCCGTTTTTTCTTGGTCGTGTTTTATCCATTGTAAAATATCTTTTTTTAAACTATTGCCATATTTAACTTTTTTTTTCAAAAATCTTTGAACCAAATTTAATGAAATTTTTAGCAAATTTCTATAGCCAGCTCTTTATTAAAATGGTGAATAACACAGTTCTCGCCCTCAGCGGGGTTACCTAGGAATGGGGTAAAAAGTGATCAGAATAATAATATTTAAATCATCTTCATGTGACCCAAATTTGATAGAATCAATATCAAATACCCTTCCTCGGTGGAAATCTGGAGATGATTATCATGATGTCGTGTCTCAGATGTCTACTGGAGTCGGGGGTTAAATTTACGACAGTTTATTTAAGAAAATCTTATTCGTTAACATAATTTGTTTAATTTCCATTGAAAGTAATTTGAACTTGGTTAGAATTATTAACGCAGGATAATCTTGTGCACATTTTATATTTTAATTACATGTACGTATATAATGCATTTCAAATTATCTTTAATTTGTTAACAAGATACATATATGCCATACCTTCCATCAGGAGACAAAATTTCTGGTGTTTTCCACCTAAATTTTGTTTCACAGCGTGATAGCTCATCTTCCGTTATTTCAAATTCTCATTCGTATTTATTCTTCATCATACCTGTTTGAGGAAGCTGCAATTTTTTCACAAGAATGATTATGTGATTTGGCTATGTTTAGCCATGATAGGGTCCACATGATATGATCAGTTTGCAATATTGACATCAACTGAAGTTTGTTCTTTAGTATTTTCCTGATCTGTGTGTTAAACAATAATGCATACTATTTTACTTGATTTTGGAGAGAAAATTCCATTCAATATTGATTGTCTGGAATTTGACAAAAACATCAGTGTCCATGGTCGCATCAGACAACAAAAGCAGAATGGATGATGCTGGCTTATCTGTTGGTCATTAAGAAAGTGATTCAGTGAAACAGCATACATCAGGTTTACTTAGACTCTGTCTACATGAACGACCAGGGCCTGTATTCATGAAACCGTTTTCATACTCAGGCATGAATTTTGTGCTCAAACCTTATGTCTTGTTTAACTTAAAAATTAATAAATAAGGCTGATTTTGCCGAAGATTTAAAAGCAATTTTGAAAGGAATTAAGTTTACATATGAATTTATGAATTAAGAGTACATATGAATTTATGAATTAAGAGTACATATGAATTTATGAATTAAGAGTACATATGAATTTATGAATTAAGAGTACATATGAATTTATGAATTAAGAGTACATATGAATTTATGAATTAAGAGTACATATGAATTTATTAATTAAGAGTACATATGAATTTATGAATTAAGAGTACATATGAATTTATGAATTAAGAGTACATATGAATTTATGAATTAAGAGTACATATGAATTTATGAATTAAGAGTACATATGAATTTATGAATTAAGAGTACATATGAATTTATGAATTAAGAGTACATATGAATTTATGAATTAAGAGTACATATGAATTTATGAATTAAGAGTACATATGAATTTATGAATTAAGAGTACATATGAATTTATGAATTAAGAGTACATATGAATTTATGAATTAAGAGTACATATGAATTGATGAATTAAAAGTGCATACAAAATCATTGAAAGATGTAAACAGGAGTTTCATTTTAAAAATATTTTAACAATAAAAGAGAAGAAGATTATTTCTAAATTTTTATAATTTTCACACATTACAAAATTGCCTATGTTGAAATACCAATGATGCATTTGGACTAAATACATAAAGTTAATTGCAACAATTTAAAGTGTCACTGACAAGTGTAATGTGTCAACTAGTTCCGCCTCCTTTGTTGAGACTTATCACCAAGGTACTGACCGAGATGCTGATTACCGATAAGTCTTGAGTCAAGAAGTAAAACTTTTAAATAAAATTAAGTGTAACACATTTCGGTGACAGTTGAACTTGATGTGATTAAATCTTATGTATTTATAGTAATATATTTTGTAAGTCACTCTGCATTTAATGGGATCTAAACTCAAGTGAATTACTCCACTGAACAAACCACCTACCTTGGATTGGACTCTATTTTCCTATTTAATCTTCATTTGGACTCTATTACGTTTTTGTGATATCAAAATAATTTTTCACTTTTTAAACTGAGTGTAGATGTATATTAATGTGTTCTGTGATAACCTCCCTTACTGGAAGCCAAAATCTCTTGAGATAATCTGACTTTTGTCAGTTGTCCCCTTAGAACCACCTGACGAGATATTCTTTACTGGTATTCGTAGAATCACCTAGCAAGACTTTCGTCACTTGTGCTCCTAGAACCACCTAGTGATCTCCCTTTCTTCCTTGTATGTGACTGGGATTTCTTGTGTATGAATAAAGTAATTTGCCCCCCACCCCCTCATCAGAGTAAAGTTTACAAATTTAGAAATGTTTGGTTGAGCGCTGTCCTATCTCAGTGACTTTATGGATTTACAATGCATAACAAATTTAGTATGGTACACCCTTAGGGAGAAAGGCAGACATTTCTTGTGCAATGGTTTCTCTAGGGAAAGGGCCAAAAGTGAAAACATCGAGAACATAGACTTTTTTTTCAGTGCATTAAATTTCAGCAAATTTCAACCACAGATCTTGAGATTATGTAATTCTCACATTTGAACTGCCTTCCCTGAATACTTGAACTTTTAGTGAAAAGGTGAAGGTGCATTGAGAAAGTAGCTGTAATTTATGAAATCTTAATCATTATACACTGTCTCTAGATTCTTTATGTAAATGTCAGTCCCACTTTCTATCAGCTGTTTAATGTATTGTTCTAACAGGCAGAAACTAATTAAAATTTTGTATGATATACATATCATGGATAACACGGTCATTTGTGACCATAAACATATAATTGTTTTGTCAGTAAACTGTTGAAATAACCAAGTGCGAGGTACAGGCAATTCTGGCCTCTTGTTTTTAAATTCAGTTATTTTGACTAACCTGTAAATTTTGAACTGAATTACTGTTTGGTTTATGTGTAACATTCTGGTCAGTATGTGACCTTAAGTTTTTGGTTAAGGAACTACAAGGTCACTGTCTCCTTTTTATTGACCATTAGCCTTGTAGAAGTGTATTCACAGAGCCTTTTTACGACATGACTGA